TAGATAGAAATACTGTTAACTGATGGTACATGGAGGGGGTTATAATCAATGTAATGAAACAAGGTATATGATTTGTTGAATGTAAAACTGATGACATGCCCTGTAAAGTTTTACTCAACCCACAATAAAAACCTTAAACAAACAAACAAAAAAAGAAGACGATGAAAGGAATATCACAGTCACTGTACCAAAAATAATTGATTGATGTTCATCATTTCAAGAGGAAGCATATGATCAAGAACCGATAGTACTGAAGGAAGACGTAAAAGCTACACTGAAGGCATTGGCAAGAAACAAGGTCCCAGGTCCCAGGAACTGACAAGATTTCAGTTGAAATGTTTTCATTCATACTAATGCAGTGCTAAAGGCGCTACATGCCAAGAAATTTGGAAGACAGCTACCTGGCCAAATGATTGGAAGAGACCCATTCCAGAGAAAGGTGACCCGATAGAATGTGGACATTGTCGAACAATATCATTACTATCACATGCAAGTAAAATTTTCATGAAGATAATTCAAAAATGGTTGCAGCAGTATATGGACGGAACTGCCAAAAATTCAAACTGGATGCAGCGGAATAGAGATATCATTGCTGACATCAGATAGATCTTGGCTGAAAGCAGAGAATACAGAAAGATGCTTGCCTGTGCTTTTTTGATGATGCAAAGGCTTCCAATTGCATGGGTCATCATAAATTATGGATAACATTGTGGAGAATGAGTATTCCAGAACACTTAATTGTGTTCATGAGGAACTTGTACAAAGATCAAGAGGCAGTTGTTTGAGCAGAATAAAGGGAATACTGCATGGGTTATAGTCAGGAAAGGTGTGCACTGGGGTTGTATCCTTTCACCATGTTGTTGTTGTTAAGTGCTATCAAGTCAGTTACGACTCATAGCAACCCTGTATAGGGTTTCCGAGGAGCAACTGGTGAGCTTGAACTGCCGACCTTACAGTTCTTACAATCTAGCACATTAAACCACAACGCCACACCAGGACTCATCACTCAATGCCAAAACAATGATCTGAGAAGTTGGATTATATAAAGAAGAATGTGGTGTCAGGATTGGAAGAGGTCTCATCAACCTGGGAAATGCAGTAGACACAACCTTGCTTGCTGGAAGTTAAAAGGACTCGAAATACTCACTGATAATGATCAAAGACTACACCTTTCAATATAGATTGCACCTAAATGTAAAGAAAACAAAGATCCTCACCACAGGACTAATAAATAACATCATGATAAATAGAGAAACCTCTTTAAAGTGTTCAAGAGCAAAAATACCAGTTTGTGGGCTAATAAGATGTGCTTGATTCATGCCATGGTATTTTCAACTTTCAATAGCCTCATATTCATATGAAAGTTGGACAATGCATAAAGAAGACCATAGAAGAATTGATGCATTTAAGGTATGGCATTCAGGAGAATATTAAAAGTACCATGGACTGCCAAAAGAACAAATAAATCTATATTGGAAGAAGTACAACCTGAATGTTCCTTAGAAGCTTGCATGAAGAGACTTCATCTCTCATACTTCAAACATATTATCAGGAAGGACCAGTCCTTGGAGAAGAGCATCATGCTTAGTGAAATGGAGGGTTCGTGAAAAAGATGAAGACTCCCCCCAATAAGATGGATTGGCACAGTGGCAACAGCAGTGGGCTTAAACATAACAACAATTGTGAGGATGTCGCAGGACCAGGCAGTGTTTCATTCTATGAATCAGAACTGATTTGACAGCTCCTAAAATAAAGTCTCCTCATTCACTGGTGAAGAGCCCTGGTGGCACAGTGCTTAAGTGCTCAATTGTTATTGGCAAGGTCAATAGTTTAATGATCCCACAAGAGAAAAGAGTTGGAGATCTAGTCCCATAAAGATTACAGGCTAGGAAACCTGTGATGGAGTGAATTGTTTACTATGTCTCTTCTAGCCATAGATTTTGTACCTATATCCTGGCATTTTTGTGAAGATTAAATTTGCTAACATATGCAAAACACTGATAACAATGCCTGGCAGATACTGAAAAAAAAAATCAATAAGTCTTAAGACCAACACCCAAACCAGTTGCATGCAGTTGATTCATTTCTGAGTTACAGCAACCGCATGTGTTACAGAGTAGGACTGTTCCATAGGGTTTTCTTGGCTGTAGTTTTAATGGAAGAAGAGTACCAGGAGTTTCTTCCAGTGGTGTCGCTCGGTGTGATCAAACCTCCAACCTTTAGGATGTAGTTGAGTGCAAACCATTTATATCAGCCAATGATTTTCCCATAAGTATGAGCCATTTTCTATTTAGGAACCCTGCTGGCATAGTGGGTTAAGCATTGGGCTGCTAACCTCAAGGTCAGCAGTTCAAACCCATCAGCAGCTCAGCAGGAGAAAAATGGCATTGTCTGCTCTCTTAAACGCGTACAATCTTGGACACACTTAGGGGCAGTTCTATACTGTCCTGTAGGGTCCTATGAGTCGGGATCTACTTAGCAGCAGTGAGATAGAACCAATATGGCTTTTTGGCCCCCTTGCTTTTCTGGATTTTTCAGATCAGCTTTTGTTTGTTTGTTTGTTTCCTTGTGGCATTAAGGGGACCATCAGTGGTTCAGTGGTGTTGTTGACTAGGGGAGACTTTGTCTCTCTACTTAGGATGTATATTTCAGGAAGGACTAGTCTTTGGAGAATTATATTATGCCTAACAAAGTAAAGGGTCCATGTAAAAGAGGAAGACTCCCAACAAGATGGATTGGCATAGTGGCAGCAGCATTAGGCTCAAGTTTAACAATCTGAGGCTGACTTAGAACCAGGCATTGTTTCATTCTGTTGTGCATAGGGTTGATATGAGTTGTAACTGACTGGAAGATGCCTAACAACAATAACAACATGTGTCAGAATTGACTGGATGACAGTAGGTCTGGGTTTGGGGGTTTACATGTATTTAAAAAATTTGAAATCACATGTTTAATAGCACCAGGACAAAAAATTTAAAGATGTTTATAATGTTGTTGTTGTTGTTAGGTACCATCAAGATGGTACCGACTCACAGCGATCCTGGGCCATCCTCACTACTGTTACCGCACTTGAGTCCATCGATGTTGCCACTTGGCCAATCCATCTCGTTGGAGGTCTTACTCTTTTTCTCTGACCCTCCATCTTACCAAACATGATATCCTTCTCCAGCGACTCTGTTCCCTCCTGAAAATAGTCCAAAGTATGAGAGATGAAGTTTGGCCATCTTGGCCTCCAAGGAGCACTCTGGCTGCACTTCTTCCAAAATGGATCTATTGGTTCTTTTGGCAGCCCATGGCACTTTCAATATTCTCCTCCAACACCATAACTCAAAGGCATCAATTTGTCTATGGTCTTCCTTGTTTACTGTCCAGCTTTCACATGCATATGAGGTTATTGAAAATACCATGGTTTGAGTCAGGTGCACCTTCGTCCTCAAGCTGACATCTTTGCTCTTCAACACTTTAAAAAGGTCTTGTGCAGAAGATTTGCCTAATGTAATACATCATTTGATTTCTTGACTGTTGCTTCCGTGAGTGTTGATAGTTGATCCAACAAGAACAAAGTCCTTGACAACTTCAATCTTTTCTCCATTGATAAGAATGTTGTTTATTGGTCTAGTGGTGAGGATTTTCATTTTCTTTTTAAAATTTTCTTGGGTGAGGAAAGTAAATTAAGGAAAAAGGAGAAAGATTTAATATTTTATAAATTTCTGAACATTTCAAAACTTATCATGTACAATTTGATTCCCATATAAAATGGTCATTTAAAAATTAGGTTTTAAAGTTCAAACAGCAGAAGAAAAATTAAAGGGAAAGTTTCTTTTTTCTTTCCTTAATTTTCCTCCCTTCCCCCTGCCCCCTTTTTCCTTTTTCAAGAAAAAGATCTGAGGGTGGGGGTGGGAGAGTCTCTTTACTCATTTTGGAACCTTTTGCTGCAAGCAAGTCTGTACAGTACAGTTACCAAAGCAATGTCAAGACCATGTAATGAGAGAGGGTAAGTGTGGTGTACAGGCAGGAAGCTGCTGACAGGGGATTAACAATGTAAATGAATAGGGGTCTTTTTAACTGGGAAAAGTAAATTAATTATGCTACAAGGAAGAATGCCTGGACAACCTCCTTCCAAAAAGATTACACTCAAGAAAACTGTATGCAGCCATTCTACTCTGTAACACAAGGGTTGACCAGGAGTCAGAATCCACTTGCTGGCAGCTGGCTATATATGGTGCCCTTTCTAAAGTGGTTATACTAGCAGTTCTGCCATCTGTTGTTATAAGGGAGCTGCATTGTAATAAGATCTTCCCGACCACACACATTTCTTTTTGCTCGCATGGATATGTGATTTATCTCCTAGTATATCCCAGGAGTCCTGGTGTGGCGCTGTGGGTTAGTGCACCAGACTGCAAAGTCATTTGAACTGCAAGGATGGCAGTTCAAGCTCACCAGCTGCTCCTTGGAAACCCTACACAGGGTTGCTATGGGTCAGAATCGACTTGACGGCACTTAACAACAACAACATCCCAGCCTTTGTAACACTGTACTGAGCCATGTCAAAACAGTTCCACTGCATTAAAGTTGTTGTTGTTGTTGGTGTACCTTGGAGTCAGTTCAGTCTAATAGCGACCCTGCATTTCCGAGGCTGTAAATCTTTATGTTTGCAGAAAGTCTCATCTTTCTGCCACGGAACAGCTGGTAGTTTCAAACTGCTGACCTTGAGGTTAGCAACCTGACTTATAACCACTATATTGCCAGAGTAAAGTTAGCCAAGATATTTCTCATCTGTGAAACCAGAAACATGTCTTTCTTTTCTTTAAGTGCAACTTGAAACCCTGGGTTCATCCAGACCCTTCCAGACAATGACTTCTCCCAAAGCATCACAAATATTTGCTGCTTAAATAAATCGATTCTTGTCAGACAGAGTAAAGTATTTGCCCATTCTTCTTTGATTACGGCTTCAGTTTCAGGAAAGATTCCATTTTTATCCCTTTTTTTTTTCCCTGCAGGTACAATCCTTGGGTTTACTCTCCGACCCTATAAAATGAGCTACCGGGAAGTAAAGTACTTCGCCTTTCCTGGGGAGCTCCTGATGAGGATGTTACAGATGCTGGTATTACCTCTCATCATCTCCAGTCTTGTCACAGGTACCCCCTGCAGCTGTTTTGAAGTGTGCTTCTTGCAAAAAGATCCCTTAGAAAAACAAACGCTTTAGGTTTCTGCTGGATGCATGCTCCGTTCTAAAAAAAAAAAAAGAAAGAAAAGAAAAAAGTCCCTTCAAAATGATGGAAAGGGGGCTTTAGTAATGCATGAATGATTATAACACTCATATTTTACCAATCACAAGAGGAAACGGATTTTAAACAGCCACGTAATCTGGTCTTGCCTCACTATGAAAGAGGTGCCTTGCTAAACACTACACAACCAGCCTTCTCTGACCATAGTGATGGAGTTGACAACAGCGTACAACAGGTCTGTTTTCTCACCCTCTTATCCCACCCAGATAACATCTGGTTGGACAACCTATTAGCTATTGATGCAAGAATGCTTGTTCTCAGAGCCACCAGGACTTGAGCGGGAGCCTTCTTGGAAGCCTCATCAAGAGGTAATGCCACCATACACTCACCAATTCTGATGCCACCAACACTTTATCTTTTTCCGGTATACCCGCATGATCTCATTTCCTTCTCCAGTTGCCCACTCCTCGTCCCCGTTACCTTTTGTGCTGGTGGGAGAATGGGGAGGGGGGTGGGTGATTTTTCTATCTGGATGTGTCATCTGAACACTTGAATTTTTAATTGAGTGGAAGCTTGCAGTATAGGACTCTGTTTTCTGTGACTGGCAGGTGGTTTACACCTGCCTGGGAAAAGGTTAAAGAGTCATTTGGGTATGTGATTGGTGGCTATAATGCAACCACAAAGTTGCAGGACATTGTTACTGTGCATTCCTTCCTGCAAATTCTTTTCCTTCTCCACAGCGCATCTCTGCCTTAGAGAAAGCATGCCCATAGACATTGTTTCCGCAAGGTGGTTTCTGGGTTTATAGCTAAAGCCCGGAATTCAGGTGTGATGGCCTGCTCTCATTCCACCCTTAGCTCACCATCTCCCTAGAAGCAGACCACATTGTTTTTATGTGAGCTGGCTTCTGAACATCCTTTCCCCCAGGGGGTTCTCAAGGATACTTGTAATCTCCTTTGGAGATCTCTGTGTAATCAGATTTTTGTAGTATAACCCAAAAGTCATGAGCAAGATGCCTTTTATATCCCATGGAGGGCTAGTCGTTACTTGGATAGAAATTATTTTAGTTTTTTCCTCTATGCCTTGCAGATCTCTGCTGGCTTCCACTTGTCCAGGACCTTAAACAAGTTATTGCACATACGCAAACTCCCATTGGAGGATGAATTGCTCATAAAATCATCATACAGACAAGTTGAACTGGGATCCTTGATTATGAAACTGGCCTGGTCCATGGCTGACTAGGGAAAATCATAGCAACAATGATTCTTATCAGAGAAACGATGTTAAATGCTGTTACATAAGGGAACGTCCTCATTTCACTACTCATATCTGCTGTTTTTATGGGGGACCAAGTTCTTTGCAGAAAGCATTTATAGGGCAGAACCCATATATTTTTACTAGTGGATCAATGAATCCCTCGTCATCCCTGCTGAACTGAGAGCTGTGGTTTTTCTAGGTTAAGGACTCGTACAGAGCTGTCCTGAATTTATTTATGCTATGAATCGGGCTGCGAACCTTAAGGTCAGCAGTTCGAAACTACCAGCCGCTCTGCGGGAGAAAGATGAGGCTTTCTACTCCCGTAAGGATTTACACCCTCGGGGCTGGTGTTTAGAGGTGTCTGCTTTCTGGCTATTGTGTTGAAGACCCCCTGTATTGCTCTTTAAAAGAGGTCAGACAAAGCTCTCAATCAGTAGCATTAAAGAAATTATGATGTCCTAGTTGAAATGACCTTGAACTTGTAGCACTTCCTAGGACTTTGTGATACTTGATACTTCAGTTTTATTGAAAGAGTAAGAGCATTACTTGAAAAATAGTAATTTTGTAGAAAGAATACTGATGCAATCTCTTTTCCTGGGTAAAAAGAAATGTGTAGGCCCACTTGGAGAAAGTATTGTCTTTTATAATATTGTTGTTAAAGAGAGGGGACTTCTAAGGTGCAAACAACCAGCATATAATGAGCTTTTAAAATGCAAACTAATTGATAGTTGGATGGCCTGCCTTTTGGGACCACTAACAGATTCTCAACTTTTATCCAGGACTGTTAAAACAAGGAGCCTGAGGGGGTATAATTTAGTTAACCAGCAACATTTAAAAATTTTTTAATGTCAAAGAAGTGATATCCAAGCTAGACAGTAATTTAGGTACTTATGATCATCCAGAATGAATGATTCCATGTGAATCTCCAGGAGGGAGAGAGAAGAAAATTTGCAAATGACACACAATCCTGGAGAATCCCTGTGTGTAATGAGGGATGTTACTGGAGACTATGTTGCCAAAAGAGAGAACAAAGTCAGGTTTCATCATTTTGGAACAGAAAAGGAAGCTCAAATGCCTCCAGTGGGCAGGCAAGTGACTTATACAAATGAAACTGCCATTGTGGGCTACGTGTGTGTGTGTGTGTGTGTGGGTGTACTGAGTGATAGTTTACATGGGAGAACATTGGGTTTCATATTCATCGTTTCACTGCAATGATTCCAATCTCCTCCGTGAATCATCATTCACCAGTATTTGTTTCTATTCCCTCTGTTGTTTTGTTCTACTTTGTTTGTTTGGGGAGATGTACACAGAAACACTCAGGAATATGTAATCATTTAAACAACCAAAGGACACATTCTGCAAGTCTGCCTCCTGGCTGCCAGCACACAGCCTTTCTTTTTCCATGAGTGTGGAGTCCTCAGCTGCTCTCTCTTTCCATGTCTTCATCTCTGCCTCCATCTCTGGTGTCACTGTTTGTTTAGATAGGGTCCTGCATTCCGCTCATGCTCTTCTCCCTTGATGGTCCTAGGGTCCTCTGTTACTGAACTATAAGATTAACTACTCCCCTCTTTATGTTACAAAACTTCTACCTTTATAATTGTGACACTCGCATTAGTCACGATAATAATTACTTACTATTGAATCATAAGAATCTTATCGCCATCTCCTTTCACCAGACTCGTGTAGACAAGATGAAAACTATACAGTGGGGACTCTATCTCCCCCACATACACTCTGAAACTAAACTCCTGCTTGACACTTGTTAGCCAGTCACTTCATGCCTTTATAGGCCCTTCATTTTAGGTAGACAATGTCTGAGTTTGCAGGATACTTTTTGTTTTCCTACTTTGATATTCATGGATTCAAAGAAATATGTCTCTTCAGCAGGAATAGTAACAGGGACATGTGGAATGAAAGCTGCACCTGAGTCAGCTGCAGAATAGTGTGGACAAAGGTAGGCAAGGAAACAACATAAATTGAAAAACTCAAGACTTAGGGTGCTTGAGTCATTTGTTGTCCTATAGCAGGGTTGAGGAACCTTTTATCTGCCAAAATTTATAGCATCATTCATGAGCCATACAAAATTATCAACCAAAAATTGTTGTTGGTGCTAAGTGTCATTGAATTGGTTCTGACTCATAGTGAACCTGTATAGGATTTCTGAGGAGTGACTGGTGGGTTTGAACCACCAACCCTGCAGCTTAAACCAACCTTGTGGTTCAGCACGTTACCTACAATGCTACACCAGGACTCTACTTAAAAATTAACCTGCTATATTTGATCAAACATTTAATTAACTCACTCCTGACTTTTGGTGTGGCATTGTAGAGTCAGCACTGGACTGTGAACCAAAAGGCTACCAGGCAAAACCCACCAGCCACTTCTTGGAAACTCTATACAGAGCTGCTATGAGTTGGAATCAACTTGACTCCACTAAACAACAACAATGTGATGGCTGTACTGTGGTTGCCTTGGCAGGGCCAAACGAAATGATTTTGCAGTGCTTATATGGCTGGTGAAGGAGCTCTGGTAGCGTAGCTGTTACGAATCGGGCTGCGAACCTTAAGGTCAGCGGTTCGAAACTACCAGCCGCTCCGCGGGAGAAAGATGAGGCTTTCTACTCCTGTAAAGATTTACACCCTCGGAAACCCTGTACAGGGTCGCTATGGGTCGGACCCGACTCGATGGCACTTAACAACAACAATAACAACATATGGCTGGTGGGCCAGAAGTTCCCCACCCCAGCCATATGGGAACACAGGTCAAATCTTCCCAATTTTCAAGATAATCCAGACATCCAATTTTCTCAGGAACCTCCAGATATTTAAATGTTAAAAAATCTTCATTTCACTAATCAACAATGGTTAGGTTCCAAAGACCATGTCCTTATGCAAAAACCAGTGTTATGTAAAAATGGAGGATGACCACATCAGATCACGAAATGGAAGTTGAGTACACCATTACACAACTGCCAAATTACATCATTATACAATTGCATTACACACTACACAACTGACAAATTACACCAGTGCATAACTGTCAAATTATGTCTTTATATAACTACTAAATCACTAAGAATCATGACCCAGCCAAATCGGCTTACAACCTTAACCATCATCACAGCCAGCGTTACTCTCACCTAACACTTCAGCATTTGTTACTCCCAAATGTATGCCATTAATGCACAAAGTGGTCAGATAGCAGATTTTTTTTTACTATTGCCATAAATGCAAAGTGTCAGACAACAAGGTAGTTGATAAATGAGGAGCAGATGCACAATTAAAAGAAACAAAAACACTGTCAGTCAAATAAAACCTTTTTGCAGACCTCATCCAGCTATTGGCTTATCAAGATTGCAGCTCCAGTGTGAAGGTTGGTGCTATTAATTCTAAGGAAAGGCATTGTCGGGCTACGACTGGGTTCCATACGTTGTCTTATTCAGCCATTAACAGTTCTGTGCCAGTGCTTGATGAATAAGATGGAGTCAGCTACTGAAACACCACATTTATTGCCAGCTAAACAAACAGCGATTGGGAAACGTCTTCTCTCCATCTTCTGGGAATAGCGAAGTTGTGTCATAGCTCTACCAGTCTCTTCTGCACGAGTCAGAAACACCAGAATAAGAACTCAGAGGTCATGGGCCCATAGAAAAC